CAAACCAGAAGAGCCTGGCTTGCTGACACCACATGCCAGGTCTAAACACACTACATGAGACAACAGGTGGCAGAGTATCAGAATTTTCAATATTAAAAGCAGTGTCTTCCATCTACCGTCTGACGTGGTAGAATCAATTTTACCACCTCATTGTGCTGCATTTGTAGACCTGGCCTTATTTGTGAAATTGCCTTCCTCTGCAGAGTCTTCCTCGGTTGTTTCCCATCCAACCCTGCTTAGCTTCTGAGATCTGACAAAATTGGGCTATATATATAATATCATGCTTCCTTCCCTCCTACTGAATCCATATACTACAGTGAAATAAACTAAATGTGCTATCCTAGATAACTGCTTCCACCAGTGCAGACATCCAAGACCTGGCATACATGAGTTCTGGCAACTGCTGCCTTTGAACCACTGTGTTCTTGACCAGGGATCTTTCTCACTGGTTGGATCAGATGCAGACACCCTCAGTTAGAGAACAGAATGCTGCTGTTGAAGCAGTCCTTCCAATCTTAGAACCAGTGCTGGAAACAGCAGGGGCACTATGCATGGGACTGCTAGAGCCAATACTCTTTGATCTTGTGCAGAGCAACAGAATGGTGGATCAGATCCTAAGGTTCTAGTGGGAGACATCTATATGTATAAAAGAAAGTCCCCTCACCATAAAATCAACTCCAAGGCTAAACCCCTGGACCTAGAAACACATAATTCGAGGAGAGCACTCCTACCACGACGTAGTGCTCACTAAGAAGGGATTTTTAGAAATGTGACCGCTAAGGGGGTCAAAAGGGGTAAAATGTGGTTCCCCTATTGCTTCCTATGTGGCTGCCAGGCTGCTGCCTCCTTGCACCCCCCACTCTCTGATTGGTTAGCTGCAGAGCTCAGTGTTAAAAAAACAGTTACAGGAGACGGCAGAGAGCTAATGACAGTTGAGGAAACCAGGAATGGCCAACCGCCTGTGAGGTGTAGCATCACCACCCTGATGGTTTCAAACACGCTCCTCCCCACCTCCTACACCTGACAGGTGGCTGTCTGTCAGATGCAGCAGCAGGTGCAAGTGCTTAAAGCCATCAGGGAGCCTACACCAGCAGTAATGCCTTAGCGATCCTGCTGGCCCAGCCTCCACAATGACTTGCAATACCCCCTCCCCTCCTCTGAAAGCTGCCTTTCAGGTGTAGGAGAGGGGGTGGGATGGTTACAGCTGTCGGGGAGGCTTGCTCAGCAGGATTGCCTTAGTGCTGCTGCTGGTCCAGCCTCCTCAATACCTTTAAACACACTCCCCCCAACACCAGACAGGCAGGTGTCTGTCAGGTGTAGGAGCAGAGCTCCGGGGTACTTTAATCCATTAGGAAGGCTGCCTGAGCAGAAACACCTTAGCAGTGCTGCTGGGCTAGCCTCCCCAATGGCTTTACACACACACTCACCTGCCCCATCCATCTGACAGGCAGTTGTCTGTCAGGTGCAGGACCTGGGGGCAGAAATAGAGTACGGATCTGTGGACTCAGTGGTGCAAACTCCTCAACCCTTCTGGCTTCCCAGCCCACAAGTTATCCTCAAAGTGGGGGCTCCTGTGATGCTGCTGCGGAACCTCAACCCACCCAAACTTTGCAATGGCACCAGACTGCAAGAAAAGGCCCTGCACAGGAACAACATCAAGGTCACACTGCTCACTGGCTCACTGCTCAGGAAGACTAAGTGTTTGTATCACACATACCACTCATACCATCAGAAAACCCCTTCGAGTTCAAGAGGCTGCAGTTCCCCCTCAAGGTCTGCTTTGCTATGACCATCAACAAGTCCCAAGGCCAGACACTGAAGGTGGCAGGAATTGACTTAACAGATGACTGCTTCTCACATGGACACTTCTATGTGGCCTGCTCCAGAGTGAGCTCACCAAGCAGCCTGGTGAGCCTAGCACCTGAGGGCAGAACCACCAATGTGGTCTACAGAGAGGTCCTTCAGTAGAGGAAAAAACCCCCAGTATGTATGTTTCACTTCATTTTTTTTACACTACAATCCTCTCCATTAGAATTCCTACAACAAATGTTACATTTCAAACTTCACATCATCAATATTATAACTGGATTTACAGAACTTAAATACCATAGTGAAGCATGGGTATCAGACCAGTAGAATAAAAATGTTTAGAGACAGTTCATTAGTCATGGCAATAGGATTTATGGAAGAGCTAGAAAAGAGAAGGAACATAAAGAGTGTAACCTTAGTGTAACATGCTGCCTAGATCTCTCCTTGAGCACTCTGAAAACCCAAATTAATATCATGCAAAATCAGTTTCCAAGAGGGCAGGAATTGACTTTATTTGTATGTAGCAACTGGTAAAGTGTTGAATGCACTGTTGCTTATTTTGGCAGATTTCCTTTGATCGAAAGAAGCCTTATGATTGGTCAAATTTTAATTGCCTGCATGTGCGTGTTCGTGGTGATGGTAGACCCTGGATGATAAACATCTATACAGACCCATACTTCTCTCATCACAAGGATGATCTCTATAATTACTTCATGTTTACCCGAGGGGGTCCATACTGGGAGGAAATCAAGGTAATATAATTATTATTTCCATGATGATGCCAAAAATGTGTGAATCAAGAGTCCTTAGTTTGCTTGTACTAGTTGACAGAAATTTATTGGTATTACTTTTCATTGTTGTAAAATTATAAAAACAGGTTGCTTACCAGTAACTGGTGATCTTCGAGTGGTCATCTGTGCATTCACACCAATGGGTCTAGTGCGCCTGCGCTGGATCAAATCGGTGCTGTAGCAAGCTCTCTACAAGGATTTTCGCGCCCATCCCCTCAGGCAAGCGCAGGGCCCACTGCGCATGCCCAAGGGGGCGGGCGCGGACATCCCACCAGTTCCTTCAAATTACCGCCGCATATCATCATCCAACCAGAAAGCCAGAAGCTGACAGCAGCGGGGAAGGAGGGTGGGTGGTGTGAATGCACAGATGACCACTCGAAGATCACCAGTTACTGGTAAGCAACCTGTTT